ACAGGTGGACAGGGACTGGCAGACAGGGGACCAGTGGACAGGAGACCGACGGACAGGGGACCAGTGGACAGGAGCCCGGCAGACAGGGGACCGGCAGACAGGAGCCCGGCGGACAGGGGACAGGCAGACAGGGGACAGGTGGACAGGAGACCGGCAGACAGGAGCCCGGCGGACAGGGACTGGTGACAGGAGACTGCGCCTACAGCAGCGAACCATTCGCCATGAGCCCAGCTCCGCCTCGGGGATGTTAGGGAGGGGAACGCGTCTCAAGGTGCCCTGGAACCAGAGCTGAAGATTATGACTCCATGTAAGTGCATCTCCTTAGAAGATGCAAAGACGCTTTAACTGCTTTAGTAAAAGGGAAGTCTAGAGGACAGCCAGGCTGGAGGTGCACGGGCCCAGGGAACCGGGAAAGCTAACAGAAAGGCAAGACCCAGGCCCCGCTCTGTGCAAGGACTCTCTGAAGACGCCGCATGGGCACTCCGAGCCAGAGCCAGCACCGCGCTGCTGTGCTCTCGGGAGAGGAGCGCCCAGGGGCCGGGCATCGTGGACGTCGGCAGGTCACGGACGGGAGCTCCTGACCCGAATCTCCTGAGCATCTTTACAGTGCTCTGCTCTGTCCCCACAGGCCCCGTCCTGCTGTAATTTCAGCCTCTGGAACGAGGCACCATCTGCAGAGGGGAGGAGCTGGGATCCCAGCCGGCTGTCCTCGGTGCGTTCCGGGACCCAGGTTCCCAGTGGAGGCCGGGTGAGTATAAGCCTGACCCCACCTGGAGCTCCCAGCAGGGACTCTCCTGCACCTCCCAGGTCTGCAGGCGTGGTTTCCTCCCGCCCTGATGCCACCCCAGGGATGGGCACCAAATCAAGGGAGCCGGACCTCGCGTGTCAGGAACCTCGTGACACCGACTGTGACCTGTGACCCGAAGGCCGCACCTTGCAGAACTCTCTGGCACAGCCACCCTGCCCAGTGCCTGCGCAGCCCCAGGCCCCAGAGGGGACAGGACCCGACTCGGGAGAGCGTGGCCGGAGTAGCAGGGCGATCTCCTGTCCCTCAGCCGTCACTGTGGGCCCCTACGGAAAGGCGGGGGCTGGGAGGCAGGTGCAGGGAGTGCCCGGCACTGACGCTGCTCAGTCCCACTGGGAACCAGCCTTGGGTAACGCACCTCGGGTCACCATCACTGCTACGCTGACTTCCATTACGGATGCTGATAAATTCTGGTGCGAGTTATGGAATTAAAAACCTAAGGATGACTCAAAGTTACCTGAGAATATGGGTCACAAGTAGCATCTGCAGGACGAGGAACGGGTAGGAGAAGCTCTCGCGGAGAGGCGGCGTCCACATCACCCGGGTGCACTGAAAAAGTTCAGAGTGTTTGATGCTCTTCGAGTTTAGGCAGGTCAGACCGACTGAGAGGTGCCATTTCTGGAGGCCGGCCGGTGGCGTGGTGGTTAACATGGCTGGATCCCACAGGGCTGACTGGCCTTGAGTCCCAGACCTGAGAGTTTGAAAATCATGCCAGGCATGTGCACGCATGCCCAAAACCCTGAGAGAGAACGGAGGGAGGACTGTGGTGTGGCCATTCCCTCTGAGGGCGCCTTCTCACTTTCTCATCTGTCTCTGTCTTTCTCCCCGTGGAGGCACACACCCCATAGCAAACTAGAAAAACAAAAAGTTGCTGTTTATGAAAACAAAGAGGAGCACTCGCATTGAAACAGTCTGTTGTTAGGGTGAGCGACTAGACCTTCCACAAACAGCAGGGCCCAGAAGGCAGCTTCCTGGGACAGCCAGCATGGCTCTGGTGCACGCAGTGCCAACACCAAGACCGCCAGCCAGCCAGTGCCAGAGGCCGCGGCCACCCAGGAAGGGCGAAGAGGCGGCAAGAACACGCTCCACCAAAGCGAGAATGTTTCATGTGAAGTGGCCCTTTCCCACGGTCCAGCAGCACTATCCACAATCCACACCTTGACTTCTTCCTACTCCTCAGTTCTCCCATTTTGCCTACAACGCTGCCACGAAAGGACATTCCGTGGATGTACCTGCCCTTCGCACGCTCCCTGGGCTGCACAGGATTTAAGGTGAGAAGGGCTCGAAGGACATAAAGCCCTAAGACGATCAGGGTCAACCTTTCTGCAAAGCGCAGTTTGGTCTTAAATAAGGTACTATCCCAGCTCAGTGCTCAATCATTTTCTGCATATATACCAAGCACATGAAGAAGTCAGACTTTCTATTTAAAAAGCTGCAATGGATTAAAGTACGCATTCTGCCGTTACTACGGCGAGGTGGGGCTCACTAGAAGAGACCACAGACTCCGGGTCAGGAAGGGCCCCTGGAGAGCCTGCGTGGGGCAGCCATGGCAGCGTCTGCCTGTCACTCCGGCCCTGCCGCAGGCTCCCGAGCGTCCCGCTGCCACTCTGAAATCTGACTCCTTGTCCCCACTTTTCTGCCGAAGCTCAGATCCCTCATGAAATCAAAGATACCTGTTTAGGAGTGGACCACACCTCCAGAGAATTCCGAAAAGGCTGGGAAGTCTTTTCAGTAATACGGTATTTGTGGTCATTGGAACACATTTTTAAAGGCTGTCTGTTTAGATTAACTAGAGGCTTCAGTGTGATTGACAGTAAAGTATATACCCGACGTCTATACAAGCTACTGGGTCACCGGGGAAGTCATGGCAAAAAGCCCGTCATGACTTTCCCGATGACCCTGTATCATTCTCTGTGCTGAAGCCGAGTATTCACGCTACAGGACACACGGTTTGAGAATTTCCTTCGTGAGACTGTCCACCAACAGCTTCTGTTACCCAAATTCGAGTACGCTGCAATGGTTGCGGAGTTGCTTCCGTTCTCTGAAACGCACTACCCCTCCTGAAAGGCGGGGTGAGCACCCGACCACGGGACTGAGACGGGCGTTCTCCGTCCAGACGCTGGGCGTGAGTTCACGCGCGCGACGGACTTCTGTCCTCCACGCGGACAGACGAGGCTCAGACACAACCGCGTTCCTGGAGACGCCGTGTGATCTGACGGCAGGGACGATCTGGTTTCATCACGCCGCAAGTGTCGGCAAACATTTTTAACTATAATTTTCCAGAGAAAATAAAAATCGCCTACTCCACAGTTTGACAGTTGAAAACGCCAACGCTTCTCCAGGGCATTTTCTGGACAGTGAAGCATTCCAGAAGGAAGTTGTCACGTCTGCTGCTCCGAGCAGGTCACAGCGACGCACGCTGCGCCGGGCAGAGAAAGCCATTCCCGGGAGGGCAGGGGTGAGGCTCCCCTGCAGACGCCCCTGGCCGCCTGGACCTTGCTGGGAGGAGCCGGGTTTCTACACCACGTAAGACTCGGGCTAAGGAATTACGACGGCTCCATGTTCCCGCGTCTACTTTCACAGTCTCGGCAGGACAGCACGCGCTACCTGACCCCCGACCTCGCAATAAACACGGGTCGGGGCTCGGGCTCCCCCTCCCGGGCAG